GGGGTGGCTTTGGAACTGTGACCCTCGGATCTCAGCCTCCTGAGTAGCTAGGATTACAGTTGTGAGCTCTGGAAAGGGAAAATTCTTAGCTTGGCTGGGATGGAGGGGAGGAGGGGTGGAGGCTGGGGGCCAGCCTGCTGTTCCCTAATCTCCAGAGGGTGAGGACGACAGGCAGACAGGATGTCCACCTCCGGCGGGCCCTGGAAGGTGAGCCAGCTGTCACCATGAATATGGCTGGGTGTGGGTCCTGCTGGGAAAGATGTTCCTGCCAGAGACCCGGCTCTTTATCCGCACTCATCCCACAGCGACGGCAGCTGTTGGGAAAGGAGCCAGCCCAGCATACTGGGGAGAAGCCGCAGCGGCTCCTCTCCTGCCGGCTCCCAGGGAAGGTGCGGCCCACACCTCGGCTCTGGCCACCTCTAGGAGCTCTGGGAAGCTCCGTTGGGAGCCTGGGATAGGGGGGTGATCAACGGCTCCGGTGCCCCCCAAACCCAAGGACATAGCACGGCTCTCAGACTGGGTTGTTTTTATTGTATTCAATGTTTTCTAGTTGTTTGGAACAAAAAACTTAAAAGAATGACTTCAAATAAAACATGGTAAGTTTAGCCGGGCGCTGGTGGCTCACGCCTGTAATCCTAGCTACTCAGGAGGCTGAGATCTGAGAATCGCGGTTCAAAGCCAGCCCGGGCAGGAGAGACCGTGAGACTCCTATCTTCAATAAACCACCAGAAAACCGGAAGTGGTGCTGTAGCTCAAGTGGTAGAGCGCTCGCCTTGAGCTGAAGAGCTGAGGGACAGCGCCCAGGCCCAGAGTTCAAGCCCCACGACCGACAAAGAAAAACAAAAAACATGGTAAGTTCTAGACTTTGACTGGGTTTGTGAAATTGGGACTCCTACAGTACCACTGTGCTTCACCGTTTGTATTTTTTTTTTTTTTTTTTTGGTCGGTCGTGGGGCTTGAACTCTGGGCCTGGGCGCTGTCCCTCAGCTCTTCAGCTCAAGGCGAGCGCTCTACCACTTGAGCCACAGCGCCACTTCCGGTTTTCTGGTGGTTTATTGGAGATAGGAGTCTCACAGTCTCTCCTGCCCGGGCTGGCTTTGAACCGCGATCCTCAGATCTCAGCCTCCTGAGTAGCTAGGATTACAGGCGTGAGCCACCAGCGCCCGGCTACCGTTTGTATTTCTTACCATTTTCACTCCCAACTTGCTAAATGGTCAGTTTGTGTCATGTGACGCTTCGCTTGAGGAAATACTGTCAGAAAACACACACACACACACACACACACACACACACACACACACACACACACACACACAAGATCGAAGCAGTTTGGTCCAGAGAAAATACTTAAAAGTTTTAAAAAAATGTGCATACAATAGATATACACATTTACAGATACATTGCAATTTCAAGCAAGCGTAGTCATCAGACAGTTGATGAACTGGCTCAGAACAGTACTTGCTGTGTTTCTGGAGTTGTTGCTAACCCACTACGTACAAGAGGCTGACATACTGCCAATGCAACCAGGACCACAGGCCACCAGCTAGACTCACAATCTCAATGTCTACGGCCCTTTAGATCTCTTCTGCCTTTTTCTATCGTGCTCTGTCTTTTCCTAATTTGTTTTTTTTGTTTGCCGGTCCTGGGGCTTGAACTCAGGGCCTGGGCATTGTCCCTGAGCTTCTTTGGCTCAAGACTAATGCTACCTACCCCTTGAGACAGTGCTACTTCTGGCTTGTTGCGGGTAGTTTACTGGAGACTAAGAATCTCACAAACTTTTTTTTTTTTGTCGGTCATGGGGCTTGAACTCTGGGCCTGGGCACTGTTCCTCAGCTCTTCAGCTCAAGGAGAGCGCTCTACTGCTTGAGTCACAGCGCCACTTCTGGTTTTCTGGTGGTTTATTGGAGATAAGAATCTCACGGTCTTTTCTGCCTGTGGCTTTGAACCATGATCCTCAGATCTCAGCCTCTGAGTAGCTAGGATTACAGGCGTGAGCCACCAGTGCCCAGCTTTCACAAACTTTCTTTTTAACTGTATTTTTGTCTTTTCTTTTTTGGTAACTGGGGATTGAACCCAGGACGTTGCACTTGCTAGGCAAGCGCTTTGCCACTGAGCTACATCCCAGCCCTCACAAACTTTCTTAACACAAAAAAATGTTAAAGAATGATCTTGACTACACGTTTCTAGTGTAGCCGAGCAAGCGCAGGGCTGACGGCCTGTACCCAGCACACAGCAGCTTCGGGTGACAGGACCTGCTCTTCCTGCCAGCCTGGCTACACAGAGCTCTGGACTCAAAATCAAGAAAGTGCATCCGAGAGGATGCTGGATTTCCCGGTCCAGCCCTGGTAGCGGCGGGCCCTCTGGGCTCCTCGGAGGCAGGAACGGTGAGGAGGGCTTCGGACGGCAGGCTGGGGACAGGGCCAGCTCGGACAAGCGTGGGGACGGCCTGCAGAACTTACTGCATCAAACCTGCTGTCCTTCCCTCGCCAAAGTGGGGCGGGGAGCTCCTAGGCCCGTGGGGATCCCAGGCACTCACCAGTGGCCCTGAGCCTCTGCTTCCTGTCTCCTGGAGGCTACAGCCCTATCAAAAACACAGTGCCCCTCTAGGAGGGATAGAGCTACGGTTAATCCTGGGGCTCCAAATGGCACCATCTCCACCCTCCTCAAACGGATCAAAGCTGAGAGTAGGCAAAGGCTCTAAGCTGCCGCCCAATCCCAGTCCAACTCAGCCTATGCCACCACAGCCCCGTTCCTGTCCCCAGACGGGCAACCGAGGCAGGCCCTAACACACTCATTCCATGCAAGGTCACATGGCCTGCGGTGGTGCCGAGCATCCACTCACTGGTCGGCAATCTCCCAGTCCAGCAGACAGACTGCTTCTAGACAAGCTAATACCACCCACAGTTCAATCAGCACTTCCCCAGCTCCCATCCATCCCCCGCCACCTGGGAGCTGGGGAAGAGAAGCCAGGCCCACCCGTCAGGGGCTTAGCGTTTAGCAAACTGTGCCGATAAACAGAATGTGGGTGATAAGTGTGGCTGAGATAACGGGACCACTGATGTGTGGATCTCCATTAGCTCCCCAGGGAGCCAATTCCAGCCCAGAGCTTTTCAATGCTGGCTGGACAGGGCAGGACTAAAGGCCTCACACAGGGCTTACTGGTGTACCTCCTCCAGACTTGGTGTCTTCCCACCCCTTGGCTGCAGCCGGCTGTGCCACTGAGTGAGCTGCTAAGGCCAGCGGGCTGGGGTCCAACCTCACTGCCTTGGTTTCTACAGGGAGAGGGAGAGGATCACTCTTCTTTATATGGCGTACTTTTTTTTTTACTGATACTGCTGAACTCAGCCTTGATGCTGGGCAGATGCTCTACCACTTAAGCCCCACCCCTAACCGTTTTTAAATTGTATTTTGAGCCAGTACTAGGGCTTGAACTCAGGGCCTGAACACACTCCCTTTAGCTTTTTCCCATGGAAAGCTAGCACTCTATCACCTATGCCACAGATCCACTTCTAGCTTTGCTGGTGAACAAGAGGTGAAATTTCAGACTTTCCTGGCCAGGCTGGCTTCAAGCCTCAAGCCTCAGATCTCCAGCTCCTGATCAGCTGCAGCGACAGGGGTGCGCATCTGGTGTCAGGCTCCTATTACCTGGTTGTTGCTGTTGTATTTCAGATAGGAGATGGCACCCTTGCCCAGGGCAGGTCCTGACCTGCAATCCTCCTACCAGATCAGTTAAGTCAGTCTAATTGTTTGTGGTGCTGGGGAAGAAGCCGAGGCTGGTACCTGCCAGGCAAGTGCTCTACAACTAAGCTGAGGAGCCTAGAAGAGGCAGTGCTTCCAACTGTGTACGCTGTGTCCATCATCCACACGGGTTAGGAAAGGCGGCCTGAGTCGGTCAGGGACGAGCAGAGCTGGGATTGCTGAGCCCCTGCAGCAGCTGCGCCTGAACCGGGGATCAGTGACCAGGGCAGGGTTGGCGGGTGTCCTGCGGGAGTCCGGGGGACCTGGAGGTGGGCCCGGATCTGACCCTGCAGCGCGGATCCTTCCCAGGGGACCCTGTGCGCTTCCAGGACCGGGCAGAGTGGATGAAACCAACCGAATTGGGGCCACCGTGCGCCGGAGCGAAGGCTGACCACGCACCCCGGCACCGGGAGCGCACGGGAGCGAGCGAGGGCGCGGGGCCGCGGCAGAGGCTCGGGACACAATCAGTGCCCGGGGAAGCTCGTGCAGTGAGCCCATCAAAGCCCGGGTGAGCACTGCCATCAGCTCGGGCCTCGGCACTGGGAGTTGCGGCTCCAAGGCCGGCAGAACACCCCAGCTGCGGCTCTCTCAAGGGCTGGGATGAACCTCACACCAGTCCCAGGGACCAAAGAGCACTGGAAATGTCCAAACTGAAACACAATTTGGCACTGAAGAACTAATAAGTTTGTTTTGTTCTGTTTGTGCTGGTCCTGGGGCTTGAACTCAGGGCCTGGAGGCTGTCTGGGAACTTTTTTGTTCAAGGTTGATCCATCACATGAGCCATAGCTCCACTTGATTGTTTTGTTGAATTGGCAGTTAACTGGAAGAGAAATGTCTCAGAGCCAGGTGCCCGCCCATGGCTCAAGCATGTAATCCAACTCAAGGAGGCTGAGATCTGAGGACTGGGGTTCAAAGACAGCCCGGGTAGGAAACTCTGCGAGACTCTTCTCCAATGACCACTCTCGTTGAGCTGAAGAGCTCAGGGACAGTGCCCAGGCCCAGAGTTAAAGCCCCAGAACCAACAAAAAAATTCAGAAGTGAAAAAAAAAATGCAAAGTGTAGCTGTGGTTCAAGTGGTAGAGCAAGAGTCTTGAATAAAAAAAGGCTCAGGGACAGCACCCAGGCCCTGAGTTAACGCCTGAAGCCCTAGAAACAGAAAAAGGGAGAAAGAAAGAAAGGCAAAGGGATTATGAGTAAACCTGATAGATTGGGCACAGGGTAAGTTCCTAAATGTGATAACCACAGACAAAATCACAACAGTGCAACATTTAAGACACTAAAATGTATGTACAAAACCTCCTATAAGGAAAACACCAGGCCCCAAGAGGGTTTCACACACTGATTCCACGTATGCAGTAACGAAGGGGAGAAGCTGCTTTCAGTATCCTGGGGACCTCTGGCCACAAGAAGCCCAACCCTGAGACCGACTGCATACTGCATACGGCTGCCCCCCACCCCTTCTCATTTCCTCTTTCCCCTGCCAGGCTTGGCAAATAAGGCGGGGTCAATCTGCTCCGGAGCCAGCCCCCTGACGGAGAAGAGCCTGGCTGCCCGCTCCTGCAGGGCACCCCCACACTTCAGCCCCCGCAAGGTCAGCTCCCACTTGAGCCTTTCCAACCCCAGCTGCTCCAGCTCCGACGAACTGCCAAAAGCCAACAAGTCCAGCGCTCCTTGCCCAGGAACCTAGGGGCGAGAGGGAAACAAGTCAGCACAGGCGCTGTCCTTTCAAGGAGCGGCCAGGGCGTCAGCCACACCTCCGGAACTGTCCACACACTCACTCACAGTTGATAAAAATCTAAACTATTTTCTTCCTGTTAGTTGTAAGGCTTAAACTCCGGGCCTGGGCACTGTCCCTGAGCTGTTTTGCTCAAAGCTAGCACTCTTCCACTTCGAGCCTCAGCGTCACTTCACTTTCTGGCTATTAGTTGTAGCTAAGAGTCTTACAACTGGGGCTGGGAAGGTGGCTCAGTGGTAGAGCGCTTGCCTTGCATTCATGAGGCCCTGGGTTCAATTCCTCAGCACCACATAAGCAGAAAAAGCTGGAAGTGGTGCTGTGGCTCAAGTGGTAGAGCACTAGCCTTGAGCTGAAGAGCTGAGGGACAGTGCCCAGGCCTAGAGTTCAGGCCCCATGACTGGCAAAAAAAAAAAAAAAGAGTCTTACAACTTTTCAGCCTGGGCTGGCCTTGAACCTTGATCCATAGATATCAGTCTCCTGAGTAGCTAGGATTACAGGCCTGAGCCACTGGTGCCAGGCAAAAGCTAAACTTTTATCTAAGCATTTAGAAACAAAACACTTGCAACAGTGGTAGAGCCTGGGAATTCTTGAGCAGATTCTACCAAAGGCAAATAGCTTTACAGGCTTTCAGATAAACTGAAATACTCGTTCTGCCTGCAGCTGGGAGGAGAGGGCACACAGCAGGGGGTTACAGCCTCCTCTCACAGCAACTGTTGCTGCAATATTAAAGAGTTACCTTTCAGCTGATCCTTTTTCTTTTCTTCATTTTATTCTGTTAAGCTATCAAGACAGGAGTCAATTTTGGGTTATAGGTATGGCCAGATTCTAAAACAATACTCTTCTGTCTTTGGAGATTTATATTTGGCTGTTATAAATAGCCATTACAATACCAAGAACAAATTTCCAAAGCTAACAATGAAAATAAAACCAGCTTTTATTTTACTGTCTTTATTCCTTTTCTCAAAACTTCAGTCAGAATAGGTACCTACTGTAACAAGCAACATAAAAATCACACCCGAGCACTGGTGGCTCACGCCTGTAATCCTAGCTACTCAGGAGGCTGAGTGAGATCTGAGGATCAGGGTTCAAAGCCAGCCCAGGCAGGCAACTCCATGAGACTCTTATCTCCAATAAAGCACTAGAAAACCGGAAGTGGCACTGTGGCTCAAGCAGTAGAGCGCTCGCCTTGAGCTGAAGAGTGCAGGGACAGCGCCCAAGCCCCGAGTTCAAGCCTCATAACCAACCAAAAAAAAAAAAAAAAAAATCACTTGTCTAGTTGGGCACCAGTGGCTCACACCTTTAATCCTAGCTACTCAGGAGGCTGAGATCTAAGGATCAAGGTTCAAAGCCAGACCAGGCAGGAAACTCCAATTAACCACCAAAAAGCCAAAAGTGGAGCCTGTGGCCCAAGAGATAGAGCACTAACCTGGACCAAAAAAGCTCAGGGACAGCACCCAGACTCTGAGTTCAAGCCCCAAGCCCAGGGGGAAAAAAAAATCATGTCTAAGATGATAAATGTGGGCTATATATGCGCTTTTCATTATCTATTGGGGATATCAGAGGGGTCCTATTAAACTAATAACAGACTTTGTGTCCATTAAAACAAACCAAGGAGCTCGGGTTTCTAAAAAGCAATCATCAGCTCACATGGTAAGCAGATTTTGAAGTCATAACATAGAAGACAGTAAATAATCATCTAGTTCTAAGCGCTTGTACAATGAAAATAATATATTTTTTATATTGGTAGGGCTTGAACTCTGGGCCTGGGCGCTGCCCCTCAGCTCTTCAGCTCAAGGCCAGCACTCTACCACTTGAGCCACAGCGCCACTTCTGGTTTTCTGGTGGTTAACTGGAGATAAGAGTCTCACAGAGGGGCTGGGAAGGTGGCTCAGTGGTAGAGTGCTTGCCTTGCATGCATGAGGCCCTGGGTTCAATTCCTCAGCACCACATAAGCAAAAAGAAAAAAGCCGGAAGTGGCGCTGTGGCTCATATGGTAGAGCGCTAGCCTTGAGCTGAAGAGCTGAGGGACAGCGCCCAGGCCCAGAGTTCAGGCCCCACAACCGGACCCAAAAAAAAAAAAAAAAGAGTCTCACAGAGGAGAGGCTGGGAAGGTGGCTCAGTGGTAGAACGCTTGCCTTGCATGCATGAGGCCCTGGGTTCAATTCCTCAGCACCACATAAGCAGAAAAAGCTGGAAGTGGTGCTGTGGCTCAAATGGTAGAGTGCTATCCTTGAGCTGAAGAGCTGAGGGACAGCGTCCAGGCCCAGATTTCAGGCCCCATGACCAGCAAAAAAAAAAAAAAAAAAAAGTCTCACAGACTTTCTTGCCCCAGCTGGTTTTGAGCCGGGAGCCTTAGATCTCAGCCTCCTGAGTAGCAAGGATGACAGGTGTGAGCCGCTAGCACCCAGCAAGAATAATTATTTTTAAAGAGAGAATGTAAGACTTGAAATGAAAAAGAAATGGGCCCTTCTTTCCTACAGGAAAGATCTTCAAATCCAACTCATAATTACATGTGTGTGTGTGTGTTTGTGCCAGTCCTGGGGTTTGAAGTCAGAGCCTGGGAACTGTCCCTGGGCTTTTCATTCAAGCTTAGCTCTCCCACCTTCAACCTTAATTGGAGTTTCCTGCTCACGTTGAACCATGATTCTCAGATCTCAGTCTCCTGAGTAGCTAGGATTACAGGTACGAGCCACCAGCTCACAGCCTTCAAAACTGAATTAGGAAAATGCGATTATCAATGTGACGAGGAATGTGAGCACATCTCATTCGTTTTAGTGTCACCTGCCACACCATAATATAGCCTTACTACTGTATGTACTAAATAAAAGCATTGCAGCTGGGCACAGGTGGCTTACGCCTGTAATCCTAGCTACTCAGGAGGCTGAGATCTGAGGATCTCGGTTCAAAGCCAGCTGGGCAAGGAAAGTCCGTGAGACTCTTATCTCCAATAAACCACTAGAAAACCGGAAGTGGCGCTGTGGCTCAAGCAGTAGAGCGCTTGTCTTGAGCTGAAGAGCTGAGGGACAGCGCCCAGGCCCAGAGTTCAAGCCCCATGACCGACCAAAAAAAAAAAAAGAATAAAAGCATTGCAATGTATCCTTGATTTTAGATGCAAAAAATGTGAAAAAACGGGCAGGGTCTGGTGGCATACACCTGTAATTCCAGTCGTCAGGAGGCTGAGACTGGAAACTCCTCAATTCCAGGGTCTGGTGGCATACGCCTGTAAATCCAGCCATCAGGAGGCTGAGACTGGAAGCTCCTCAACTCCAGGTTATGTAGTAAGCCTGTCTCAATCCTCACCCCAGCCCCCTGCAGAGATATAAGCTCAAAATCCATGCAATGTGGCAACAAGGACACCCCCTAGTGGCAGAACACTATAAACTCAAGTGGGAACTAGCAACTGGTGGGGAAAAACACATTCTCCCTCTCCAATTTTGGTGACACCAGATTTGAACTCAGGGCTTCACACTTGCTTGACCTGTTCCGTTAGCTGGTGCTCTACCATCTGAGCCATGCCTCTTGCCCAGCTTTTTACTGATTTTGGAGATGGGAGTCTCAAAAGGTTTTTCAGCCCAGGCTGGCTTCAAATAAGCCACCAGTGACTACCAGCACATCTGCAATTTAATGACTTATTGTGGAGTTGACACAGTACTCACTGCGTGACCTGACGGGCGCCGCTCCGGTTTGGCACCGGGGGTGTCTTCTCCAGGCTCAACCAGGGCAGCCCTGCCTCTACCGGTGACTCCTGCTGCCTCCTGGCCCTCCGTCAGCCTGGCGGCGGCTGTGTCTTCAGCAGGCTCTTGACTCTCTGTCTCCTTTCTCCCCTGGATCCTCTCTGCTTCTCCTCCCGCCTCCTCCCCGCGGCCCTCTTCAGCGGGAGCCTCCCCGGCTTCGGCAACGCCCGCCCCGGGGTCAGTCAGCTGGCCTTCGGGTTTTGCTGGGGCCGCAGCGCCTGCACTGGCTGCCCCCACACTCTGAGAGCAGCAGGGGGACTCGGCTGTCATCACAGCACTGCCACGACCGCTTTCTGGAGCAGAGCAGCTCAGTCCTGTAGCAGCCGGCACTGTCTCACTGTCCTCATCTGAGGACACTTCCTCAGTCTCCAGGTTCTCCATGCCCAACCTGCCAGAAGCAACAGAAAAGCACCACACAGATTGTTTACCTCGACTCACAACAGGGCACCTGCTTGTCCAGGAAATGGACTCACAGGCTCAGGCTATGACGCAGAGAGCAGGTGAACTGCAGAGGCACCAAGAGCCACAGCCTTAATGGGTGGGGGCCGAGCCTTCCCAAGATCCCACAGGACGCATCTACCCACCACTCACCCACCACCACTCACCCACCACCACTCACCCACCACTCACCCACCACCACTCACCCACCACCACTCACCACCACTCACCCACCACCACCCACCCACCCACCACTCACCCACCCACCACTCACCCACCACCACTCACCCACCACCACTCACCCACCCACCACTCACCCACCCACCACTCACCCACCACTCACCCACCACTCACCCACCCACCACTCACCCACCCACCACTCACCCACCCACCACTCACCCACCACCACTCACCCACCCACCACTCACCCACCACCACTCACCCACCACCACTCACCACCACTCACCCACCACTCACCCACCCACCCACCACTCACCCACCACCACTCACCCACCCACCACTCACCCACCCTCCACTCACCCACCACTCACCCACCACCACTCACCCACCCACCACTCACCCACCACTCACCCACCACTCACCCACCCACCACTCACCCACCACCACTCACCCACCACTCACCCACCACTCACCCACCCACCACCCACCCACCTTCCTCCACCCACCCACCACCCACCCACCCACCACTCACCCTCCACTCACCCACCCACCACTCACCCACCCACCTTCCTCCACCCACCCACCACCCACCCACCCACCACTCACCCTCCACTCACCCACCCACCACTCACCCACCACCACTCACCCACCCACCACTCACCCACCACTCACCCACCCACCACTCACCACCACTCACCCACCCACCACTCACCCACCCACCACTCACCCACCCACCACTCACCCACCCACCACTCACCCACCCACCACTCACCCACCCACCACTCACCCACCCACCACTCACCCACCCACCTTCCTCCACCCACTGTGGTGATCCCATGCAATCACGATGCATCTCCTATGGTAACAAATGCTGAGCGAAATTCAAGAGGGAAAGACTAAGCCACAGGAGTGAGTATCTCACTGGTGGCCAGCAGCTGCCAGTCTGGAGTGCGGGAAAGAAAGTTCCCAGCCAACACCAGGAACTACTGCCCCATGAAGATGCTGTGAATCTAGACTGGGGGTAATCAATCAAAAACAACACATTTTACTGTACACAAATGACACCTGGGTAAGTACAGGCAATGCCAGTACCTTTCTCTCAGGAAAATTTAATTTGCCTTTAGAAGTACATAGGTCTCCACTGGACTTAAGAACTGAAGTTACAGGACCTACAGCCATTACCTGGCATCCCCAGAGGGGAGGACAACAAGGAAATAAGATGCATCAGCATGCACCTTTTCTAAAAGGTAGCCCAAGGGAGGAGAGATGGCCTAGAGAGGGCCCAGAGCTACCAGCAGGGAGTTATGTGTCAGGGCTGGGAAGGCGGCTCAGTGGTAAAGTGCTTACTTCCCATGCATGAGGCCCTGGGTTCAATTCCTCAGCACCACATAAGCAGAAAAAAGCCGGAGGTGGTGCTGTGGCTCAAGTGGTAGAGCGCAGGGACAGCATCCAGGCCCAGAGTTCAGCCTCATGACGAGAGAGAGAGAGAGAGAGAGAGAGAGAGAGAGAGAGAGAGAGAGGAGAGAGGAGAGAGAGAGGAGAGAGAGAGAGAGGAGAGAGAGAGAGGAGAGAGAGAGAGAGAGAGAGAGAGAGAGAGAGAGAGAGAGAGAGAGAGAGAGAGGGGGGCTGACCCTGTTCTCATCCACAGGGCAGAAGCTGGGGTGAAGTCTAACCAAGTGACCAAAAACTTCAGGGCTGAGGATGCCAACCCAGAGAAAACACAAGCACCTGGGACACACAGCTAGACTTTCTCCAGGAATTCCTGAAGAGTTAACACCACATGTAATGAAATGTGATGCCATTTTTGTGATGTTCTACTACAAGAAAAAGTGCCCTTCAACTGCTAATGACATCAGAGGAGAAACCATAATAAGAGTTTTCCCATGTGACGATCATTCCATCCCCAAAAGAGCCTGTGCAGACAGCGTGGAGGGAGCTGCACCGTGCAGGCTTTGAAGGTGGCCGGGGTAAAAACGGAAGGCACCCACCACAAGCACTTCCTTTTCCTTGCATGGGGTCCAGGGTCTGTGTCTGATCTTCGGGGCCGTATCCTGGGCTCACCAATCTCAGCAGATACCAATTTGCTGGAGGCGGCCTGCATACCTAGTCAGAAATTCAACCAGGGTTTCTCCTGTTAGGGCTGAGTTTACAGAAATTAAATATCCAGGCACTAAAAAGTGCTGCAATCAGAAGTCTGTCTTCAAACTTTTTCTTTTCTGCCACTCTTTGGACTTGAACTCAGGGTCTGGGCACTGTCCCTGAGCTTCTTTTGCTCAAGGCTAGCACTCTACCACTTGAGCTGTGGCTCCACTTCTGGCTTTTTTGCTTATGTGGTGCTGAGGAATCAAACCCAAGGCTTCGTGCATGCAAGCACTCTACCACTGAGCCACCTTCCCAACCCTTCAAACTTTTTTCTGTGCTGGTCCTGGGGCTTGAACTCAGGGCTTTTGTGTGCGCCCACTGCTAGTACTCTACCATGTGAGCCATAGCACCACTTCCAACTTTGTGACTTAATTGGAGATACGAGTCTCATAGACTTCCCCGATGGGGCTGGTTTCAGATCTCAGCCTCCTGGGTAGCAAGGACACAGGCGTGAGCCACCGGCACCAGCACCGGGACTCCTAGGGAGCTTCTGAGGCTTGCCTCAGGTTATCCAGGGAACGGCTGAGGAGGGGACACCCTCACCCTTGAGGACCGAGTCCTCCAGACGCTCAGCCATCTCGTGGCACTGCCGCTGGTAGTCCGGGCTGGCGAGGCAGGGCGTGGGCTCTGCCAGCCGCCGCTGCAGCCGCTCCAGGCGCCGCTGCTCCTTCTCAGCCTCCCGCTCCGCCTGCTGTTTCACCCACTCAGCCATGCTGGGAAGGAGAAATAACCCGGTGCATGTGTAAGTTGCACACTCACAGTTATGGATCACACAGCCTCTCAATCAACGACACTGCACGTACAACAGGACCCTGGCAGTGATGGAGCTGAAAACTCCCGACTGCCGACATCGAAGCACAAGGCATGTTTGCCTGTTGGCTGACAGTGCAAACAAACCTCTTGGGCTGGCTGCGGGCCACACAATTACATACTCTGCACAGCACCGATCATACGTGACTATGACTCGTTCGCGTACGTGCTGTAACTTCTGCAGAGATGAGAGCACGTCAAGAGCCTCGGGCAGGCTAGGAAGAGCTCTACTACTGAGCCACACCGCCAGTTACTCTGTTGTTATTTTGTTTGGTTTTTTTTGGGTCCAGTCATGGGGCCTGAACTCTGGGCCTGGGCGCTGTCCCTCAGCTCTTCAGCTCAAGGCTAGCGCTCTACCACTTGAGCCACAGCACCACTTCCAGCTTTTTTCTTTTTTCTTATGTGGTGCTGAGGAATCGAACCCAGGGCCTCAGGCATGCAAGGCAAGCGCTCTACCACTGAGCCACCTTCCCAGCCCCTACTCTATTGTTATTTTGGACTGTACTCCAAGTTTGGAGTCTGGAGCTGTGGCTCACTCCTGTGATCCTGGAAATTCAAGGAGGCTAAGATCTGAAACCAGCCCAGGCAAACAAAGACACTTATCTCCTACTAACCAGCAAAAAAGCCAGAAGTGGAGGAGTGGTTCAACGGTGGAATGCTAGCCTTGAACAAAAATCCAAGTGAAAGCGAGACACCGGTGGCTCACGCCTGTCATCCTAGCTCCTCAGGAGGCTGAGATCTGAGGATCACGGTTCAAAGCCAGCCCAGGCAGGAAAGTCTGTGAGACTTTTTTTTTTTTCTTTCTGCTAGTCATGGGACCTGAACTCTGGGCCTGGGCACTGTCCCTCAGCTCTTCAGCTCAAGGCTAGTGCTCTGCCACTTGACCCACAGTGCCACTTCTGGCTTTTTTCTTTTTGCTTATGTGGTGCTGAGGAATCGAACCCAGGGCCTCAGGCATGCAAGGCAAGCGCTCTACCACTGAGCCACCTTCCCAGCCCCCCCATGAGACTCTTATCTCCAATAAACCACTCGAAAACCAGAAGTGGTGCTGTGGCTCAAGCGACAGAGTGCTCGCCTTCAGCTGAAGAGCTGAGGGACAGCGCCCAAGCCCAGAGTTCAAGCCCCATGACCGACCTCCCCCCCCCAAAAAAACACAAAGTTTTACATATATAAACACCAACTGGCTATGAATGATGGTGTTCTAAGGAGAGCAGTTCTAAAGTGTAACTCCTCTGAACAACTAATGAACTGTTTAACAAAATGAATGCCAGGAAGCAGAAACCTGTCTGGGGAAACATATCCGGCAAGGAAGGGCCACAGGAATGGAGGGCCAGCAAACGCAGTTATTATATTCAACATGCAATACGTAAAAAATGAACTACTAAACCTGAAGGTAGGGATTGGAAGAGGAAATATGGAAGGAGTGACACTGACCGAGTATTGTACTCATAACCTGACTGGTGGGACTGTATCCTCTTTGTATGATTACTTAACGTGGTCTTACGCTTTCTCATGATTGACATCTCGTAGTCTCCTCCCACTGAGATCCCGGCAAGCTTCTCGATTGGTTGTCTTCTCGATCTGAGCACCAAGAGCACGTAGCATAGACCCAAAACCTAAGGCAAAGCAAGTAGGAAAAACAGGTTAAAATGTGTTCCGAGTTGCACATTAGCCAAATCTGTGAAGCTAAGACTGACAGGGTCCCTACATAGTTTTCAAATTTTTCACACAGATGGACATCAAGGTGCTAACCTAGGCAGCAGGCAAGAAGTTGGTAACCTAACTGAACTTCACTTCTCTATCCTTCACTTCCTAGCTCTGAACGCTGTTCAGTACAACTGGGGCACTGAAGAACGTGGCCAATGCCAAAGAGCCTAAGACTCTTCAAGAATCAGGGTGAGGGCTGGGAAGGTGGCTCAGTGGTAGAGTGCTTGCCTTGCATGCATGAGGCCCAGGGTTCGATTCCTCAGCACCACGTGAGCAGAAAAAGCTGGAAGTGAAGCTGTGACTCAAGTGGTAGAGCGCTCGCCTTGAGCTGAAGAGCTGAGGGACAGCGCCCAGGCCCAGCGTTCAGGCCCCATGACCAAAAAACAAAAAACAACAACAAAAATCACTGAGCAAGACGGTAGATCTGTAATCCCAGTTATGGTGGGATTATGGTGGGAAGCATAAACAGAAGGATCACAGTCCAGAAAGCAAAAAAATCAGTGTGAAAGACTGGAAGTGTGATTCAGAGTCTAGGTAGAGCACATGCCTAGTAAATGGAAAGCCTGGAGTTCAAACTCTAGTTCCACACAACACATCCAAAAGAAAGACAGACACATCCTGCTAAAGACTAGAGACGTGCTGACGAAGCAGTCATCCTTTGCTTACCTCCTTTTCCCCCACAAAGTCTGGGCTCCAGCGTGTACACAGCTCCATGCTGCACTGTGTCTCCAGTCCCAACAAGGGCTCCATTGCATCTCACAAAGAAGCAGTCCTCAGGAACACCCTGGGGACAAAGGTGTATGTTTGCCACATAATACAAGTTTCCCACAGGAAGAGATCTGGCTTTTATCTAATCATTATGCCATTTTTTTTGTTTTTTGTTTTTGTCGGTTGTGGGGCCTGAACTTTGGGCCTGAGCGCTGTCCCTCAGCTCGTCAGCTCAAGGCTAGCGCTCTACCACTTGAGCCACAGCGCCACTTCCGGCTTTTTCTGCTTATGTGGTGCTGAGGAATCAAACCCAGGGCCTCATGCATGCAAGGCAAACGCTCTACCACATTCCCAGCTCCATTATTATGCCAGTTCTAAACAGACTAATGTTCCATTCAACACATGTTGAGCTGAAAATGGAAACTAGGAAGTTATATCATATGATACACTAGGTACAATTCAGTCTAATCTCACCTAGTCATGATACTGTATAACTTTTTGCCCTTATTAGTGAAAATAAAAATGGTTCTTTTCCTTGTCTCTACTATATCACCTGGGCCATGCTATGAGACTGACTATTCAATGCTCAAATCCACCAGCTCTGAAGGTCTCATTTCCGCTGATTTTTGGTTTTACTATTTCCTTTTTAAAAATATTTTAGAGCCCAGCGCCGATGGCTCACAACTGTCATCCTGGCTACTCAGGAGGCTGAGATCTGAGGATCGTGGTTCAAAGCCAGCCAGGGCAGGAACATCTGTGAGACTCTCATGTCCAATAAACCACTCAGAAAACCAGAAGTGGCGCTGTGGCTCAAGTGGTAGAGTGCTGGCTTTGAACTGAAGAGCTGAGGGACAGCGCCCAGGCCCAGAGGTCAGGCCCCCTGACCGACAAAAAAAAAAAAAGTTTCAGATTTAAATGTGTTAGGCTCACAAATAACAAGCGGGAGGGGGGGGGGAACATGTGTTAGGAAAAGAAGCCGTGGTGGACCAGGTGCCCGCGTCAGAGTTGGGCAGACGCGTGAGTGCTTAGGTCGCGACCCCGGCCAGCGCCTCGCGGAGGGGGCGCGGGTGGAGCAGCCGCAGTGCGGTTCCCTGAGCATCATTTCCAAGGAGGCAAGGCGGGGACAGCGCCGCACAGCGGAGCCCGGGCCTCGGCGGCCAGCGAGGCGGGCGCCGGGAGCCGGGCCGCCCGCGGGTCCGGAGCGGGACCCCACAGCGCGTCCGCGGACGCGGAAGGAGCGCGAGCGGCCGGACGCGAACTGGTTTTCCCGAGGTGGGGCGGCGCGACGGCATCCACAGCAGGGGTCTGCGTGAGGCCGCGCGCGGGCCCGGGCCCGCCGCCCTCACCCCGCCCCCGGGCCCACCGCCCGCCCCCGACCCCGCCCCCGACCCATCGCCCACCGCCCGCCCCCGCCCCCACCCCCGCCCCCACCCCGACCCCCGGCCCGACCCCGACCCCCAGCCCGACCCCGACCCCCAGCCCGACCCCCGGCCCATCGCCCGCTCCCGACCCCCGCGCCCACCGCCCGCCCCCCGACCCCCGGCCCGACCCCGGGCCCTCCCCCGACCCCCGGCCCGCCCCCGCCCCCGCGCCCGGCCCCGACTCCGGGCCCACCGCCCGCCCCCGACCCCTGGCCCGACCCCGGGCCCGCCCCCGACCCCCGGCCCGACCCCGCGCCGACCCCACCCCGGCCCCGACCCTGGGCCCACCGCCGACCCCCGCCCCGACCCCGTGCCCACCGCCCGCCCCCGACCCCCGGCCCGACCCCGGGCCCGCCCCCGACCCCCGGCCCGACCCCGCGCCGACCCCACCCCGGCCCCGACCCTGGGCCCACCGCCGACCCCTGCCCCGACCCCGTGCCCACCGCCGACCCCCGCCCCGACCCCCGTGCCCACCGCCCGCCCCCGACCCCCGGCCCGACCCCGGGCCCGCCCCCGACCCCCGGCCCGCCCCCGCCCCCGCGCCCGGCCCCGACTCCGGGCCCACCGCCGACCCCCGCCCCGACCCCGGGCCCACCGCCGACCCCCGGCCCCCAGCCCGACCCCGACCCCGGGCCCGACTCCGGGCCCACCGCCGACCCCCGCCCCGACCCCGTGCCCACCGCCTCACCTGCTCCCGGCAGTGCCTGTGGATGAGGTCGAGCACGCAGCAGCGAGCCGAGGCCCACCGCGACGCCCTGCGCCCGAAGCCGGGGCCGTGAACCCAGGCCTGAACCGGAGCCTCCGCCATGGCGCCCGCCGCGAACCACAGCGCGTCTTGGTGACGCAGCCGCGCCTTCCGGCCCCGCCCCGGAAGTCTCGTGTCCGGAGCCCGCGGGGGCGGGGCCACGGCGGGGCGGGGCCACGGCGGGGCGGGGCCACGGCGGGGCGGGGCCACGGCGGGGCGGGGCCACGGCGGGGGCGGGGCAGGATGACCCCCGGGGCCTCTGACCCGAGGTGGGGGAAGGGAGGGGGCGGGACGAGGCGTTGCTAGGGCCGTTGCCAGGGCGGCCGGGACTGGAGACCAACGGCGGGCGCGGCGCGGGCCGCGGGTCTGGCCGGGCGAGATAGTCCGCGTCCTGCGGCCCCGGCGGGCCCTGCCCCTCCCTCCCGCCGCGCCGGGGACGCCCGCCGCCCCCGCCCCCCCCCCCCCCCGCCGCCGCTTCCTCTCCCCGCCCCCCCCGCCGCCGCCCCCGCCCCCCCCGCCGCCGCTTCCTCTCCCCGCCCCCCCCGCCGCCGCCCCCGCCCCCCCCGCCGCCGCTTCCTCTCCCCGCCCCCCCCGCCGCCGCCCCCGCCCCCCCCGCCGCCGCTTCCTCTCCCCGCCCCCCCCCCGCCGCCGCTTCCTCTCCCCGCCCCCCCCCCCCCGCCGCCGCTTCCTCTCCCCGCCCCCCCGCCGCCTCCCGCCCCCCCGCCGCCTCCCGCCCGCCCGCCGCCTCCCGCCCGCCCGCCCCCCCCCCCGCCGCGCCCCGCCTCCGCCGCGCCCCGCCGGCCCCCGCCCCCCCCGCCCCCCGCCCGCTCCCTCCCGTCCCCCTTCCCCGCCCCGGTTTCCTCTCGGCGGCCCCCCGCGGTGGCCGCTTTCGAAACTCCTTTCACCGCTATGGGCGTCGAGCAAGGCGGGGTCGGAGGGGGGGCGAGGCCCAGTCCCGGGGGTGGGGCGAGGCCCGGTCCCGGGGGTGGGGGGAGGCGCCCGGTCCCGGGGGTGGGGGGAGGCGCCCGGGGGTGGGGGGCGGCGCCCGGTCCCGGGGGTGGGGGGCGGCGCCCGGTCCCGGGGGTGGGGGGAGGCGCCCGGGGGTGGGGGGAGGCGCCCGGGGGTGGGGGGCGGCGCCCGGGGGTGGGGGGAGGCGCCCGGGGGTGGGGGGAGGCGCCCGGTCCCGGGGGTGGGGGGCGGCGCCCGGGGGTGGGGGGAGGCGCCCGGTCCCGGGGGTGGGGGGCGGCGCCCGGGGGTGGGGGGCGGCGCCCGGGGGTGGGGGGAGGCGCCCGGGGGTGGGGGGAGGCGCCCGGGGGTGGGGGGCGGCGCCCGGGGGTGGGGGGAGGCGCCCGGGGGTGGGGGGAGGCGCCCGGTCCCGGGGGTGGGGGTCGGCGCCCGGTCCCGGGGGTGGGGGGCGGCGCCCGGGGGTGGGGGGAGGCGCCCGGTCCCGGGGGTGGGGGGCGGCGCCCGGGGGTGGGGGGAGGCGCCCGGGGGTGGGGGGCGGCGCCCGGGGGTGGGGGGAGGCGCCCGGGGGTGGGGGGAGGCGCCCGGTCCCGGGGGTGGGGGTCGGCGCCCGGTCCCGGGGGTGGGGGGCGGCGCCCGGGGGTGGGGGGAGGCGCCCGGTCCCGGGGGTGGGGGGCGGCGCCCGGGGGTGGGGGGAGGCGCCCGGTCCCGGGGGTGGGGGGAGGCGCCCGGTCCCGGGGGTGGGGGGAGGCGCCCGGTCCCGGGGGTGGGGGGAGGCGCCCGGGGGTGGGGGGAGGCGCCCGGTCCCGGGGGTGGGGGGAGGCGCCCGGTCCCGGGGGTGGGGGGAGGCGCCCGGTCCCGGGGGTGGGGGGCGGCGCCCGGTCCCGGGGGTGGGGGGCGGCGCCCGGTCCCCGTGGATCCGTCCACGCAGCGCGGTGAACCCGCGGGGGCCACAGCCGGGCCTCCCACGCCAGCGGCGCGCCAAATTCACGTGCGTGTGCGTGCGAGTCCGAGTGGTGTCCGTGTATGTCCGTGTATTTCCATGTGTGTGTGTCCGTGTGTGTATTTCCATGTGTGTCTGTGTGTGTCCGTGTATTTCCATGTGTGTGTGTGTCCGTGTGTCCGTGTATTTCCATGTGTGTGTGTGTCCGTGTGTGTATTTCCATGTGTGTATGTCCGTTTGTCCGTGTATTTCCATGTGTGTGTGTCCGTGTGTGTATTTCCATGTGTGTATGTCCGTGTGTTTCCATGTGTCTGTGTGAACGTGTGTGTACGTGTATGTCCGTGTGTTTCCATGTGTGTCTGTGTGTACATGTGTGTGTCCGTGTGTGTCCATTTGTGTGTCCGTGGGGGGGGACCGGTCCTGGGGCTTGACCTCAGGGCCTGGGTGCGGGTCCTGGGGCTTGACCTCAGGGCCTGGGTGCGGGTCCTGGGGCTTGACCTCAGGGCCTGCGTGTGGGTCCTGGGGCTTGACCTCAGGGCCTGGGCGCTGTCCCTGAGCTTTTTGCTCCAGCCCTGGGGTGGTTCTTGGGAGTTCAGAGTCTGGACTTTCCCGCCGGGCTGGCTTCCTGCCGCCGACGCCATCGCCCTCCTCGGAAGATGGCTCTTTCAGTTGGCAGCTGGTCAAGGATTCCAGAGAAAAGGCTGCTGCTGCCTCCCCACTCCTGGCCCCCGGGGAAGGTGCTGGAAGGCAGGCGCGGTGGGCGGTGGGACCGGTTCCTTGTGGTGGGCCCGGCCCGCGTTGGGCGGTGTTTCTAGGAAGCCCCGGCCCTGTCCTGCTGGGCTCCCCAGAAGCGCAGCCCAGCCATGTATGTGCTCTTCCAGAACACAGAGGGACTGCCGAGCACCCAAGGCTCGCCGAAGAATTGTTCTCTGCCAGGAAATGGCAGTCTTGACAGGCAAGTGCGTGTGGACACGGGGTGGGCCTGGTGAGCCAGGTGTCACACTGGTCTTCAGCAGGAAGCGGAGCCGTGTGCTGGCTTCCCACAAACAACAGCTAGTGTCCGGTCCAGGCACCACCGGCCAGTCACATGCCTGTGGGTCTAGCCCTGTTGTGGTCATTAATACCGTCCCAGGACAGAAGACTCCTTCAATGCCACCAACACTCACTACCATCAACTCCCAAGTTCACAAGAGGTGCCTTACAGATAACTCCAGCCCCAGCAACAAGGAGGTCATCTCCTGGGACAAGAAACAGCTTCTGGTAAGAGCGTACAGTCCAGGCTGGAAGGTGGACATATCAGAGGTAGAGCATAGAGCAAGCTCAGGAATAGTTGGCTACCAGGATGGGGCAAAGATCCACCATCAATCCTTTATTGGATAGAAGAAAACAGGCTCGGCTGGGAAGGTGGCTCAGTGGTAGAGTGCTTGCCTTGCATGCATAAGGCCCTGGGTTTGATTCCTCAGCACCACATAAGCAAAAAGAAAAAAGCCGGAAGTGGTGCTGTGTCTCAAGTGGTAGAGCGCTAGCCTTGAGCTGAAGAGCTGAGGGACAGCGCCCAGGCCCACAGTTCAGGCCCCACAACTGGACCCAAAAATTAAAAAAAAAAAAAAAAAGAAAAGAAAACAGGTTCATCAAGGGGAGGTGGAAGGAGAGGAAGACACGGCTGTGTCTAAGCACTGAAGCTTTAGAACAAAATGAGGGAGCAGAACCAAGATGAGCCACCTCTCTGAACTTCCACCAAGACAAAGGAAGCTTCTGGGAGGGTGCTTCACGTGTAAATCTATGGCTCCTCCGCTCAAGATGTCAGCTGGCTTGCATTATCATTATAGCCTTCATTCACAAGGTTCGTCACCATCAAATGACCTATTCCATCAAATAATTCCAATCCGTGGGCTGTGAGGTGGCTCCCTGGTAGAGCGCTTGCCTTGCATGCATGAGGCCCTGGGTTCAATTCCTCAGCACCACATAAGCAGAAAAAGCTGGAAGTGGCGCTGTGGCTCAAGTGGTAGAGTGCTATCCTTGAGCTGAAGAGCTGAGGGACAGCGCCCAGGCCCAGAGTTCAGGCCCCATCCCCCCTCCCCCCAAATTCCAATCTGGGTACTGGTGGCTCACTCCTATAATCATGGCTACTCAAGAGGATGAGGTCTGAGGATCCTGTTTCAAAACAAGCCCGGCAAGAAAATCCATCTTCTCTCATGGGGCTTGAACTCTGGGCCTGGGTGCTGACCCTCAGCTCTTCAACTCAAGGCGAGCAAGCTACCACTTGAGCTACAGCGCCACTCCAGTTTTCTGGTTGCTTATTGGAGATAAGAGTTTGTTTTATTTATTTTTTATGAGTACATTTCTTATTGAGCATTTTTACCACCTCCTTTGTTTTTCCCCTACCATCCCTTCCCTTCTCACCTCTCCCAACTCCTCCGTGCCCCCCCTCCCCCCCACCCTGAAGTTGTAAAGTCCATATTTTGTACATCTCATTGTTACAGTGGGTCAACCTGTATCCTTATTTCAACATTTGTTATTTCCCTTCCCCTCCACAAATTAGAAAAAGGTATATACAAGATGCAGGGCACCAGAATGAAATACAGTGAAAACAGGATTATACATGGGGGAAGAACAAACAAACGAAACAAAAAAAAATCACCTAGCACATTATAAATACATTAAAAACAACAGCACGGAAAGATAAAACCTCTTGTGTCCCTATCTTGGGGTTCATTCAACTTAGCATCAACTTATATGGTCATATGTACATAGTTTTTGACCTTTTTTATTTTTTATATTTTAATTTTTATTTTTTGTGAACATACTGTACAGGGGTTACAATTACATGGGCAAGATAATGAGTACATTTCTTATCAAGCATTGCAGCCTCCTCCTTTGTTTACCCTTCACATCCCTTCCCAGCCTCCCCCGCCACCCCCCCCCCCAAGAGTTTGGTTTATTGCAGATAAGAGTTTCATGGGCTTTCCTGCCAGTGTTGGCTTTGAACCATGATCCTCAGATCTCAGCCTCCTGAGTAGCTAGGATTACAGGCGTGAGCCACTGGTGCTTGGTGAGACTCTTATCTCTGAGTGACTACAAACAAGACAAGAAAAAACCCAGAAGTGCGGCTGTGGCTCAAGTGGTAGAGCCCCATCCTTGAACAATAAAGCTCAGGGACAGTGTCCAGGCTCTGAATTCAAGCTCAGGACTGGCA